AAAGTTTGACAAGTAGTAAATGTTAATGCTAACTTAGGAAAAGCTTTTAACGTGCTGACACCTTGTCATCATTCTCATCCCACTTGATCTGTTCTCCAGTCCTCAGATTTTCAGATTTCCATCTCTTTCTATACGTCTTGGCCTAATAGGGGACATCGGTCTGGAGCACTGACTTCTGGCGGGCTCTACCTCCGAGCATAAAAAAAGTCATTCACTCATTCTTAAGCTCCTCTTTGAATGGTGTGAGATCGTACATTTCATAGAGTGAAATTACCTTGTTAAATTGTGACATTCGCAGTGAGTGTTATGCTATTTGGTTACTGTCTTTAATTGTGCAGCTACGGCTTGTGAGAAGAAAAGTTGTGCTTTGGAGTGAATTTCTAATAAAAGTGCAATTACGCAAAGTTGCGCAGCAACATCTCCATTTATTATTGTAAGGGATTAACAGTTAACTTTGGATTGTCGCATAAGTATAAAAAGGCTTAAAAATTATTATAATCTATGTGGTCTAACAAGTCTTTTGCGCTCGATGCGTTCGCGAGCATTCCACAGCATGCCACTGGGATGCGTAAACGATCTACCCTACAGCAATAAGAGTCAGGGAGGTTCGATGACTTCGGTCCCAACCGACGCAATGACTACCATTCCTGCTCGGAAGGTCGAGCGTACCCTGACGAACACCGCCGCACTGAAGATTAGCATTTCATAGGCCAAGAAGCTAGGTTTCACCTTATGCAGCATTGGAATGAACGGAGGGCTTGACATTCCAACATCCATAAAAGTAATATCCTTGTTGTAGGGGCATGAATAAGAGGCGATAAAATGCCAATTTGGAGCCGTATTGGGAGTCGATTTATGTGAGCATTTTCACAACTGCACTCGAGTTTTTCTCCTTTTTATGAAAGGCACTTGGATCGTCAAGGTGTTGCGCCCCATCCAACAGAGACTCAATGGAGCCTCACCAAATTCGTTGACTTCATCTTACCTTTTGGTCCTATTTCCAACGCGACCGCACAGATTCTCTCATTTTCAATCTTTGTTCCCTCTTCTTCCTAATAAGGAAGGTGATAGTAAGGTCCAATAAATTTATTAAATAATTTTATTTGGATACTAAATTTTGCCGTGAGATCTAGATAGCATGAGTGGAGGATGAAAGTTTTTATGGTCTTTACATTTTAAGATGGCGTCATTTAGGAATCTAACGTGAATTATTGTTCAATGCAGGTGGTTCTCAGAATTGATATAATTTTGAGAAATGCGTGCCCTTCAAAAACCGGTTCAAAAATTTGATCTTTGTTGCATTGGCAAAACTTACTTTACAAACTTCTGAACTGAAGAGAATGTGGCCTTTCGTAGGCCCCACGTCTCCGAAACTCGCTACAATAGTTGGTGCGTGCAGGGTGGCATAACCATTCTCACATCTGACCATTCAACATTGTGGGATTAAAAGTTACATTTTCGCAATCACTGTTTCGTAATTGTTTTTTATAAAAATTCGGTGCAACAATCAAAGACATTCAGCGCGTCAACTCTTTCGCATTTCATTCCCTTTTTTGTGCTCTCTTTAATGATCCATTGCAACTTCACCATAACTTCAGCGATAAAGTAACTCGCCATTTTATTTTTGTTAGTGTGTCGAATTAGATTGTTAAAATAAATGGACAAAACTGTGCATTGTACGACGCTTTAACTACCAATGTGTCCACAAAATAAACAAATGATGATCGTCTGTAATAATTTGGAAGACTCAATTCGTCTACATCAATATTTTATGCTTCAGCAACATTCAACTTCCACTTTGCCCGCTTGTATCAGCAGTGGATTACCTTCTAATACAGTCTCAGCAATAACCTTTCCTCTGCTTTGATTTCACTTGTTGTATTTACGTAGTATCAGACACTCTGGGTCATGTCACAATTTTTCCCTGCAAATCATGGCTGATTGACTACAACGCAACGACCAAATGGAACCCGTAAGCAAATAGTCCTCCTTCAATCCGCAGTTATCTGAATTCCTTCGTGCGCGAATTAGCGAATTTGTATTTCTTCCATGAACGTCACCCCGTACGCATGTTTGACGTCGAATACGGGGTTGGTAAACTAAAATTTTCAGTGATAAAGTACTTTGAGCATGTGGTTTAGCTATGCGATGCAACAAACCAGCACTTTGGTCTCTAGAAGATGCACTTCCGCTGTGCATTATTCCTTTCATGCCTTTCTAGTAGCCTCTCGCCTAGTCATATGGCACGTTGTCCGAAACATTTGAATGTCACCTAAAGGTCACCAGAGTTAAGTGAAAGTAAGAGACTTTGAATGACTTGGTTTGGGATTGTTAAGGTATTTTCAATCTGAATGACTGTCACTAATTGGCCCCGAATCTTTGCATTACAGCATTTTGTGATGCCGGCTAATCATCAAAGCCGTCCCATAATTCAGACTAGTCAAAAACATGTTGACGGTTTGCTTCTCAGCAATTTAGGAATCGAAGCACTTTCCTGCTCCTTTTCATGTCACTGCTCCGGATGCTCGGGTCTTCCAGAAAGGTTCAGGCTTGCCCTTTACTACAGCATATAAGCAATGTTTTTTGGGTGACTGCTAGGTTTTTCGATATCCGATTGCTTTCGACAAAGTGCTATCAGTAAATTTACTCGACTGACAATTGACTCACAATGGACAGGTCAATTTGGGGACACCGCCAAATAGCTGGAATCCAAACACCCAGATTATAATCACATTCTGAATATTCAAGAGAAATTCGATTGGATGCATGCATGTGAGTTAAACGCTTAAAGCACTTAAAAACGAGTGAGAATCAATGACTTTAATATATCAATGTCGTCAATTCGAGACAAGTTTGCAAAACATCCCATTTGCCTTATGTTGAGTGGAACAGTGTTTACTCATTTTAGAACATGTATTAATAAAAGTCGTACTTAAAGCATGGTTAGTATTTGCCAAATCATATCTCTCATTAAAAATTGGCTGCCAAGATAAAACAAATAAGTCTTTCAAAAAGTCTTAAATGCCTTAGCATATCTCTTCTGACATCAGAAGATGGTGGAAAGCTACGATTTTTGGCAAGGCATGTTGGATGCTAGATCCATGAACTTGGAATTTGAGTAAGTGGTAAGGACTGTAAGATCTGAGGTTTAGTGGTTACTTTGGTATTCGTCCGGCCCTTGTATGCCTGGATTTACCTTCGGCCAAACTATGACTCGATGTCTTCTTCTCTCAGAATGCATACATTCAGCCAAAGTTAATGCATTCTTCCACCCACAGTACCCGCATTAAAGAACACGTACCTCTGATTCGGTCATACTACCGCCTTAGAATTAACACATGCACAAAAAAGTCATACTGGGCTTCTGACTTCAACTGATATATATTGTAAGTTGCTGACCGTATCTTTAGTATTTTAATCTTAACGAGGATCGGTGTTTCAAAGTCTTGTTTCTTCAACTTCCCGTACGACTGACATTCACTTAGGTATTCATCTTGCTCTTGCCTTTGTGGATCAGCCAACGAGTCAGGCTAAAGCTAAAACTCATTTACTCCTCTCTAAACACACGCATTTAGTCCCACTTAATCTCTTCTCAAACATAATGGGAAGTGTTGAGACGTTACAGTTTGAATTTCATAAGCCCTATTGTAGCGTCCTGAAACTTCCTACTGGGTTGAAAAGGCAAATATAAAAGGGTCTGGCGAATCTTAAAGTAACAGCCAGGAATTAGTTGGTAACCTCAACAAAGCATTACAATAATTAACAACTCTTCCTGCAGAAGGAACTCGAGTGGGATGCTTTAATTGCCAAACCTTTGATTAGGGCAAAAGAATCTTTTTGTGCCCGCTTATTGTATCGCTTATAAAGCCCTTTAGGAATAATCACGTCTAACTTTGTTTCCGTTGCTAATAACTACCCTACAAAAAGCAGGACTAAGTTTATTTCTGCTGAGCACTGTTATAAAGCGTCACCACCTTTCCTCTCGCTCAGCTGGGAGTTACCGCGTAGTAATAGGAATCAGATTAAATTTCGTTGAATATAAGGTTCAAATCCCGCTGTCACTTGTGTGGAACTCTTAGGCCTTCCGCAGGCGAAAGAGGCCCCATCAGTCAAATAAACTACATTTGCTTAGCATTCATTGGGATCCGAGACTAGCGAAACAGTTCAGAAGTCTATGCGCAGAGCAAATTTTTAGTGATCAAGCCACAGGAGATAACTGGGGTCAACAAAACTACTGAACAAATGTGGCTATAATGGCGACAACAGCTTTTAGGCCTAGTATTCGAAAAATACAATGGAACTTCTTGGTATTTTTTGCTAAATATACAATATTATATTACTGTTTGTCGATTCATTAACTAAATCATTTTTACTCCTTAAGCAAAGCGTACCAGTTTCTTGTAGCTCACTTTACATATGGCAAGGTCCAAAGCCCTATAACCAATATTTTCCTCAAAACAGGAAGTATACAAACCTGGGGATTAAATTATCATTTTCAAGGTCAGCATATCTGTAGTTTACGTTAGCCGTATTCAACCCTTGAACCCAAATTTCGTGCCTTTTGTCAGTGGGGTGGTAATGTATTTCCAATGGTTATTTCTTTACAGTTAATATTTGCGCCTGAGATCTCCTTTTTTATTGCCAGGAAAAGGACTGGGTCACGGGCTGTGCACTTTCATACTCGAACTGTTCGGAAAAGCTTTGTCGGCGTGGATTTCTCATAGTAGTTGTTGAGCTGATACCTTGTTTCGTTAAGCAGTGTAGTACGCACTTCTAAAGTTAACTTTCGTTGCAAGATACCTTCTAATCTTTATATAATTGAATATCTTTTGCATTGGCAGACTTCAATTTGCGTGTTACGTCTCACATGAATTCGATTAACGTTAAGCATTCTACCGCAACCACAACCACCTCGTGTTGCTTTGCTTGTTTCATGTCTTTTACATCTTTTCAATGAAACGTATTGCAAGTATCATCGGTCTTATATCCTCCTTTTTGGCATGACCAGCATGTCCGACGTCGAAGCTTGCAATCTTGCCCGAGATGGCAAAATGGCAGAGTTGGTAAGCAGAATAAATGCCGACCCTGGATTAGTCAAATTGAAGGACAGTGTATGTGCACAAACTCTTTAACTGTGTCTTATTCGTTTTACATGCTTTCTGTGTTTCCGTTTTATTTTCTCAGTGGTTCGATCATCCATTGTTGATAATTACCGAAATTTAGGTGGCATATTTTATTTAAGAAACGTAACCACAACTGTGAGCAAAGAATGAAATTCATACCAGAAATACTATGTTGTGCACTCATATAGTAAGTCGCTATGTTCTAGTCAGGGCGTACTGTTTTGCATTGGAGTTCCTGCGGAGGACATATCGAACTAGTCAAACGGCTGATTCAGGGTGGATGCCTACCGGACGAGCCTGACTCAGTATGTTCCGTATGACCTTTTTCCTTAACTTGTTGTTTCGCATTACGCGGATAAGCTTGTTGTTTTAAGCTGCTTTATCAGAATCGGGAACCTAGCATATCTTGGACTTTCTATCGTGGTCTTTGAAGTTTCGAATACCCAGTAGCTTTACTAGCTTTTATTCTGATCACTCCATCACTGTCAATGGTTATGCTTTTAAATGTGCAGACAACGTGTTTTTTAACTACTTTTTGATCGTATCATTCTGTGTAGTCAGGTTGGACCCCTCTGATGATCGCTGTGTCGGCGGGTCGGGAGGACGTCGTCGCGTACCTTCTAAACGCAGGTCTTTCTGTTGATGTCAATGTGGTAAACTCAACAGGTCAGAATTGCCTCCATTATGCTGCCTCAAAAAATCGACTCTCGGTGCGTTCTGACTTCCATTCAGCTAAGTTCCAAAGTTAACGTTAATCCGTTAGCTATTGCCCTGACCGATTCTCCTAAACTTGCCTGATGTGACTGCTGTGATCATTTTTGTAGCCAAGTTTATCCTACCTTTGGTCATGCGAAAGCATTCTTACCATCGGTTGTTACCGTTTTGGTCTTCTTTAGATAGCAAGACGCCTCCTACTGGCAGGAATACAGGCGGATTTGCGTGACTGGGGTGGAAACACGCCCCTTCATCGAGCCGTGTCTCGAGGTCATACGGACATGGCCAAGATGTTGCTGGCTGGAGTCGCCCTTGCAGATACAGGTGTTAATCGGGATATCAGCAAATGTTCACCAAACACTCCTAATGACGCCGGACAAACTCCACTGTAGGACTTTATTTTCGTTCTCGAATCTCCCACGAACCTCTAGATTTAGTAAACTGATCTGAAACTTTCGAAATCATTGGTTTCGGTTTCCGACACACTCAATCATTTCGGTTGCTACCACTACAGACCATTTGAGGTAATCGTCGAAATTGACGCACTCCTTTTCTGCATTCGAGGTATTACTCACGCGGATTGCGTGTTCACTTTTAAATGGAGCTTAGACCCTCATGATATACGGTGGATGAAAATCCCTCCACCTCTTCTTGAAAAATTAATCAGCAATCTGCTACCGAAATTAGGTTTGTCAAGCATCATCGTGAAGTGTTTTCAACCACTCAAGCAAAAATTCCAATGTAAATAGGGAGTGGCATGCTCCATACGAGTATTCAGATTCAAGCCATACTTTGATGCTATACGACAATAAACGATTGCGCTGAACACAAAATGCGACCTCATTGAACTTTACCATTTGGTTGGTCTCGTATTGTTTTGCTTTTATAGACACATTGCCTGTGAAGAGGGAAATACAGAAATTATGAAGATTCTTCTCATAACTGGTGGGGATCTCACTGTGAAAGACAAGGTTTGTTTGTCTCTTACTGTCCATTGACCCCTCATTAGTGTTTGTTCGCTGTTTCGATTCTGGTACATTAACGATAAGCTCTGCATTGGTAGGAAGGTCGAGCACCTGGAGACCTGGCGCCGGATAATCTTCGATTTTCCATCCAGAGCGATCTCAAATTGCAGTCTCCGTAGCGGCCAATACTTCCTCCTCCTCAATAAAATTTCCCCAAAGCGTTCAATTTCCTGCGATGCACCGCAAAGAACTCACAAAGATGTTGGCCTCCTTGAACTGTAATTTCCCTTACTATTACAACTCGACACTGGAAGTAGAATTGAATAATGATTTCATACTCATAAAAGTGGTCGGGATGAATAGTCATTGCAACTATCCCTGACATCCTGTAAATCATGATATCACGGACCCATGCTGATCAAGGTAACTTGTAACGCATTTACGAAATGTTTTAATTGAAAT